TTCACCATTGCATTCAACAAAGCGTAACACCACACACATCTGTTCTTCATGTGACACGGAGGGAGTACAGTCCAAAATAACTGAATAATATTTTGCTTTTTTAAGCTGCGCTATGTTGGCCTCTTGAATGTTACTGGCAACAAGTTGAATCAGCTCGTTTTGGATCTGTGGACTGAGGTCCTGAACATGTGTCTCTGCCTTCTTAATCCTCTGTAAAAGTTCGCTGAGGACAGTATCATACTTTGCAAGCAATTCAAACAGTCCCAAAAAGTTGCCATCCGAAGGATCGCCGAGCTTTTCATTACTTCCTCGAAATGCCAAGTTTCTTTCGGACAAGAAAATAACGACATCAACCATGCGTTTGACAACATTTCTCCATAAATCTTTCTTTCAGAAAAGCCTGCAATTCGAGTTTGTCAATAGATGTATGGTTTATTATGCCTGTCCGGAGGTCAAACCATTTCACCATACAGTCTTTATGACCTTTGCCTGTTTCATGCTGCTGAAGTCTTTTTGACAGTGCTTTCCAAGCAGATGTTCCACAATGTAGCGGTATGTCGCCAGTGCCAAATAATTTACAACAAAAACAAAAAATGGCATCTTTCTGAACTGAGTACATTAACCATGAACGTCTTATTTTCTCGCCATTTGCCATGGTTCGAGAGAAATGAGTACTTGTGAACTTCCGTCTTTCCTCGTAACTTTCATTCTGCTGCGGTGGGCCACGTGCAACAATGTCACATACTTGCCTGTCCGATATTATAGATGGCCAATCTCCTGGATCATCAGTCAGTGATTCAGATACTTCTTTCCCGGCAGCAGCTGGAATATCTGTCACAGTTAGTAGGGTAGAACAACTGGCTTCACCTTCGACCTCACTTGAAGCACTTCTGGATACGATTAGTCGCTGCTAGTGCTGTCCGTTTCATGTGCCTGCACCTGTACGTTAGATTGCAGCGCAAAATATGTTGACAACTTTGGAATTTTCTCAAGTTCCTTCTCGGCATCTTTTGCTGCCTTTCGGTTACTAGCTCCGCTCTTATACGTTCTCTTAGACATCACAAAGCACGCTTCTGCGTTGCAAACAAATAGTTTCAAACTATAAAAAATTAAACAACTAAATTAATAACATTTATCCGCCAACCGCCATTATGAACGCAAATACACATTCTTTGAATGGGTCCAACTAAAATTTGAAACTGACCGACAGACAACTGCTGTAGCCAATAGCATTATGATATATCATAATAACTTCAGGGTTTTGTCAGTAAAACCGACATGGATTGTGCAATAGCGTCAATAAATGTCACGTACCTAGTTATACCTGATATTTTTTTTGCCACTTTTAGGGGGCCCCTTCCTTGCGGTCAATTGACCAAATCTAAAAAAGATTTTGGGTTTTCAGTTTGCAGAAATTTGAGATTGACTTTTTGTCCCAATTCAGCATAGGAAAATTTTTCAAAATATTAGATTCTCATGGAACAGGAAAATGGTTTCCTGCCCAGCCCTATTAACATCTACGTCACAGATGAAACTCACTGCTGCACGATATTTAATAACTTAGGATAATCTAGACATCAATTGGACATTTATATGAATAAAAGCTCATTGGATATGATCGAGGTCTATAAAATCATGACTAGTGTAGAGAAAGTAAATGAGGAGGAGGTGTTTATTCCTTTTCAAAACACAAGAACTAGGGGTCACCAAATGAAAAATTAATAGGTAGTGGGTTTAAAACAAACAAAAGGAAGTCTTTCTTCACACAACACATAGTCAACCTGTGGAACTCTTTGCCAGAGGATGTTGTGAATGCCAAGACTATAACAGGGTTCAAAAAAGAACTACATAAGTTCATGGAGGATAGGTCCATCAATGGCTATTAGCCAGGATGGGCAGGGATGGTGTCCCTAGCCTCTGTTTGCCAGAAGCTGGGACTGGGCAACAGGGGATGGATCACTTGATGATTACCTGTTCTGTTCATTCCCTCTGGGGCACCTGGCATCAGCCACTGTCAGAAGACAGGATACTGGGCTAGATGGACCTTTGGTCTGGCCGCTCTTATGTTCTTAAGCTGCAGTGACAGTGGGAGGGACAAAAATGCATGGGTTGTTAATCCTCATTCTTCAGACCACAAGGTGAAAACTCTTTTCTTCCTGATCCTTAGTGGTAAAGCACAACTACTTATTTCCAGCCGCACCAAAGGATGTTTAAGTCTTGCAATTCATGAGCTTGCATATGTCATCTGCTCACGACACACATATACAAATATAGCCACAGAATGAGAAGAATGGAAGTGTACAGGGACATCTCACCTGCCATCCAGAGAGACACAATATTGTATTATTTCTCAGGTAGAACTGTTTCCCTGAGCCATGCAATTAAAGCCTGACACATGCTTCTCTAGCTTTGAGTCCCTAAGTGTTTCTTGGGCCCTTTCTCTCAGGCTAGTAAAATCAGAGTTTAGTGGCTGATGGATAAATTGCAGAGACGTAACATCTGTGCCTCTATCCCAGCTCTTCCAGTAGCAGCTCTGTATTCCATCTTTGTTCTTTGGGAGCCTGTGTGACAGGAGAGAACAAGCGAGTCATGGGGCAGAAATCATTTAGTCCTTGATGTACAAAGCATTCCAAATACACCTCTGTAAATTTACTGTTGCGAGATATCTGGCAATTTTAAGAACATTCGCTTCATACATTCCCTACTGCCATCTGTCGGTTGCAATAGGAAAAGTCATTCAACATCAGACACATGGAAGAAAGTCCGGTCAGCTCAGCAACTACGCCACTTCCTTGGGATTTCTCAGTTGCCTGGCACGGTCCCAAAAACCTATCCAGTAATTAGATACTATAGTATTCCTCCTTACACCATCCATCGATATCAAAGCATCTCTATTGAGGAAATTAAGTATTGTTATCTCCACTTTACAAAGGGGAAAACTTGGCTACAGAGAGGGAAAGTGACTTGCCCAGTCACAAGGCAAGAGCCAGCTGTGAGAACCAGCAATAGAAGCTACCAATCCAGAATCAGGGTAAAATTTTCAAAGTGCCTAAATTCCAATTTGCTAAAATAAGTCACCTTTGAAAATGAAATTTAGGCACTTTGAAATTTTACACTTGGTCTGGTAGAGTGCAGGCAGAATTCCTGAGTTCTATTCCCAACTCTGCAGCTGGCTTTTGAGACTTCAGCCAGGTCATGTCTCCTGTCTAACAGGTTCCTAATTAGCAAAGAAGAGTACATAGCCACCTACGTAAAGTTTTGAAGTGAATAAGCAGAGACTGTGCTAATATATTATTTTCTGCTCTCATTTCAGAGGAAACAAGGGGGAATTCTGTAAATTAGATAAAAAGATTGAGAGTGTCCAGATAAAATAAGACTTCTTACCTCAAGGCATAACAAGAGTTATTGTCAGCCCTAGCCATAAAAATGACTTCTGCAAATCCAGGGCACGATTTTTAAAAAAGACTAGTCATTTTCTACCCAAATTTAGGCATCCTAAATACACTTTATTTCCCCCAAAGTGATAAGCACCCACCTTCTGAAAATCAGCCCCTTTAAAGCACACCAAGCTAGGTACCCAAAATTAGGAATCACACTTGAAAATATTGTCCAAAAGCATTACCAGCTAAGAGTATTTCTAGAGCACCCAAGTAGCACCCTAGCCGCATACAGAGAAACAAAATCATATCAAAACCTTGCCTTTGTGTATTTTCCAAACCCAGCTGTATTCAGGGGGGATCGATTCATAGTCTACAAACATCCTTAAAAAGAAACAAGCAAAACACAACAAACACGTGCACATAATCCCACCCCCTATGGCTCACAATGTAGTTTCTTCACACTTCCTACAACAACCCCCATAACCCCGTAATGCTCACATCCCCAGGTTCCGGTCAGATGGGTACTGTGCCCCGTCGTAACAAAGAAGGACGGCACATCTCACACAGCCGTGTGCAAACCCCATTCATCACGCGTCAGAACCTGAAGGATCAACACGCTGCAGCCGCGCTCGGGGGGGCCATGCCACTCCACTGGCTTACTGCTCAGGGCGAGCGGGGCGCGCCCGGCCCCAGCCCGAGTTGCCCCTGGATTCCCCTCCGCCCCCAACGAGAGGCCATTTGCAGCCACGCCCCGCTCCAGCTGTCCCTTAGTTCCCATCCGGGCCCCCGTGGAGCGGCAGGATCGGAGCCGGAGCCGCCATCTCATTACGCATGCTAATATATGCATACCCGCCTCCCCTCTACTCCGGCGAGCGCGGCTCGCCTTCCGCCTTTACGGCAGCGCGGTGCCCACGTGGAAGGGAGGAGGGGATTTGCGACAGCGCTGGGAAAGGCAGGAAGTGCGGCGTGGTTTCCGGCAGTTGGGGGAAAGGGGATTTCCTGGGGGAGCGGCCCCCCCCCCCGGGCTGGAGGGGTCGGGGAGTCTGGGCGCTTTGCACCCCGGCGGGAGCTGGGTCTCCCACTCACACCCCTGGGGGGCTGCACCAGGGGAGGGGGACCCCCTTGCCCTGAAGAAGGGGGGCATCTGGTACCCCCACCCTGCTGAAGGGAGATTGCACCTCCCCCTTCTCAGGAGGAGAGTCAGTGCCT